CCCGAGTCGCACCAGAGTATTAAATTCTGAGCTGCCGCGTCTCATCGCACACTTTTAGCCCGTTTCTCCAAATGTACGAAAAGTTCTCCCGCCTACCTGCCCCAGTCACTGTTCGGTTTTCATACAGAAAAACTATTTCTACTTTATGATTCTGTCGCCCGATGCCCTTTATACTACACCCGGAGAGAGCTTGCTTCAGATGCCTACAAAATTCAGGTGTATTTTTTAAAAAACAAACAAAACCCCAAACCTCACAAACCCAGACATCGTTTTTATGAATTTTGCTATCATTTTTCAAATGTTGGGTTGAATGCATGCAGCTGAATTTCAGGACTTTTCCCTTGAGTGGTGCAAACCAGTATCTACTTACCGCAGACAGGGAACCAATGACACAAAATTAGGGGTTCCACCCAACTCCAATTTGGTGAACCAATGAGTGTTTATTGGGGTTACTTACAAAAGCATGGATGAATGAATACAGGCTGCATTACTGAAGAGCCCACCCGGAGCATGGGTGATGGCTGGGAACCTGGGTTCTCTCAAGAACAGTTCTTGTTAGCTTTTAACTACTAAGCCATCTCTCCAGCCCCCTCTGCCTAGTTCTTTATAATCTAACCCTACACTGGTTAATACTGTAGCCACTAACCACATGTGACCATAAACACTTGAATTTGTCTCGGTGCAACAGAAAACTTTAATATTTACTTAATATAAATATGAAATGGAAGGAGTGTAAAATATTCTCATACACTACTTCATTTTTTATAGGACTACATCTTGAACTATTTAGTAACTAGTATAAAATTGAGATATGTGTAAAGTATCAAAACTGTACCAGACTTAAGAGATTTAGGATGTAAAATATTTTATTAATTTATATTTATTAGATGTTAAAATAACATGTTTGATCTTTTGCATTGGGTTTATTAAAATTAACTTTGTTTTCAGCACTGAGGATCGAGCCCCGTTCTTGTGCATGCTAGGCAAGTAGTCTCCTCTCCTCCTGAGCTATAGCCCAGCCCTCATGTTTTCTTCTTAAATATGACTTAAACAAATAGAAAACTATGTATGTGACTCTCAGGTTGGAAAGTATTGGTAGTACCCAGCTAGTCTGAGTGTAGCCTCACCTTCAGCAGGGAAGTTTCTGTGAGGAGGAAGGAGAATCTGTACATAACTCGTTGAATGCCAAGGGAAGTGTAGCTGCTTTGGTCACTATGAGTCATGGATTCAGAGATTCTCATTAGGATGCTGGAGCTGTTCCAGCCTGGTCTACCTGGTGATTTCCAGGCCCTCCCAAGACCCTTGTCTCAACAAAGATCCTGCAAAGCGCATGTGTCATTTATTTGTGTGAAATAATGGGTACATATCTTCACATATAAGTAAATATATGTGAAAATCTTACACTTCACGTGTCATTTATTTGCTGAAACTGTTCAGAAAATACAATAATGGCTTATTGACTATGGAAACTTTTGTGAACAAGGAAAACTTACCAGGAAGAAGGAACACCACAAAAAAGAAAATAAACATTTCATATTTGATTTTGAGTTCCAGAATAACCAAGGCAAAATGGAACAAAAGAGAATATATTATTACCCAGAGGAGGCATAGCATTTCTGACCACTTGTAAGAACAATTTCTAATATGACTTAGTGTACAAATAACGTTTTCATAGTAAGATCAACCTTTTCTGTGACTGCATCTGGTAGTATCCAGATAGTTTTTATATAGAAATGAATGAATGTGATCAATAATTTTGTATTTTTATTTTTATAGGAATCTTGGGAAGCCAAAATGCGGCATAATCAGATGTGTTGTGAGACACCACCTACTGTCACTGTTCATGTAAAATCAGGTTCAAATAGATCACATCAAACTAGAAAACCTATTAATCTGAAGCGTCCTATTCTTAAAGATAGTTGGCAAGCATCTGAAAAAATGCACATAATAACAAATCTAAACGGCCCAAAGGACCCTGTCTAATTATACAGCGTCAGGAAATGACTGCTTTCTTTAAATTATTTGGTAGGTGTAAGACATTTTAATGGTATAAAGTACTTAAGAATCAGAATGTAAATCTCTTTTGTCAGTTGTTTTTGCAATAATGTAGTATTTATACCTGCCAAGAAAAGGAGCCTGCTTTTGCAGTCATAGTAGCAAGATAGACATTAGACTAAGAGATAGTGTAGATGTTTCCTGATACCATAGTCTAGTAGTTGTGGGTAACAGACCTCCTTGCTTATAGAGGAAGGCTATGTGCATGCAAGCAAACTTGGTAAGATCATCAAACGAAAAGTTGAAACTCTTCTCTGGTCATGAGAAAACACCTAATTCTATCATTTTAGGTAGCTTATGAAATAGAAACAGAATTAACAAATTAATTCTCAGAAAATCAAATTATTCTTAGAATTTTTCCAAATATTAATTCCATTCATGAAATTCATAACATGTAAAATGAATAAAAATAACTTTTTGTTATTAAAATGAAGAGGATTTTCCTAGATCATATTCTGATAGGTTTCAACATCTTTTGAGATTATCCATTTTAATGCTTTCAAATCAAAACAAGTTTTTTTTTAATTTACTTTTTGGATGTTGTTTTTTGTTGTATTTTGTTTTGAGACAGGGTCTTACCATGTAACCCTGGCTGCTGTGGAGTAGAACAGCCCAGTCTTGAACTCACAGAGATCTGCCTGCCTCTGCTTCCCAAGTGCAGGGATTAAAGGCATGTACCACCACTCTGGAGTAGATATTATTCTTCAAGATTTTGTTGACCTTTTTATCCTAATAATCAGTTTTCTCACAATGTTAATTATAAATCCAAGTAAAACTTGGAAGTTATTTATGTAGACATATTTATGTTTTATTTGAATAATAAGTAGACTAGAGAGGAAGTAGGGGAAAGGATCCAAAATGAAAACTACCCAATTGAATAATACCCAAATGAAAAAGGAGAAAGTGATAGAAAAAGTAATACACTTAGAACAGTATTAAGGTACTATTTTTAGAAGATGAATTACATCTTTAGAAGATGAAATGCATTGGATTCCATTTCTGCCTCTTAAAATTGACTCAGCAAGCTGGGTGGTGGTGGTGGCACACTCCTTTAATCCCAGCACTCAGGAGGCAGAGGCAGGCAGATCTCTGTGAGTTTGAGGCCAACCTGGTCTCCAGACTGAGTTCCAAGACAGACTCCAATGCTACAGAGAAACTCTGCCTGGGGTGGGGGGGCAAAAGAAAGAAGAGCTGAGCCAGGCGTTGGGTACATGCCTTTAATCCCAGCACTCAGAAGGCAGAGGCAGGTGCATCTCTGTGAGATTGAGACCAGCCTGGTCTCCAAGAGCTAGTTCCAGGACAGCCTCCAAAGCCACAGAAAAACCCTGTCTCGAAAAACCATAAAAAAAAAAAAAAGGAAGAGCTGGAGTTACCCAACAGGCTGTTGGATACTCAGAAAATGACTCATATTATTCACCTTTAAAGTTGATAAAAAAAAAATCAGATTGGAAATGGATAGCCCTTGCAATAATAAATATACTAAAAACTGGCAACCTTAGCAACCATTTTTGTTTAATCTCTAAATATCACTTTAAAATGTCACAAATACAGAAAGTATTTCTTCAGAAGGAAACTTTTTTTTTTTTTTTTTGGTTTTTCGAGACAGGGTTTCTCTGTGTAGCTCTGGTGACCACGCTGGCCTCGAACTCACAGAGATCCATTTGCCTCTGCCTCCCGAGTGCTAGGATTAAAGGCGTGCGCCACCAACGCCCGGCTAGAAGGAAACATTTTAAAGAAGATAAGTCATACTTACCTTTTGTTGTAGATGACGATTTAATTCAAGATTTCCTGTGGATGGACTGCTGCTGTAAAATTGCAGACAAGGTAAACTGGAAATAGTATAATCATAAACCATCATTGTTACGTTACTAGACCATTAAAATTTGTATGATACCCAATAAGAATTATAAGAATTTTCTCCTTCATTAGTTTAGAAAAACACCTAGCCTACGTTTTTCCTTTGGAGAAGAATTCCTTTGTCATATTTATTTAATATTTGTTTGTGTGTGTGTGTGTGTGTGTGTGTGTGTGTGTGTGTGTGTGTGTGTGTGTGTGTATATCACAACATGTATACCATAGCCAGTATGTGCAGGCCAGAAGACAATTTACAGAGTTGTTTCTCTCTTCCACCATGACAGCATGTGCCTTTACCCACTGAGCCATCTCACTGGCCCTCCAAAGCAGAATTCTTACACTTAATTTTTTACCAAATCTATTTGGAATCAAGAATACAGACTCAATACTTTGGTGGCAGGGGTAGGGGTAGGAGGTGGGGGTGGAGGGCAAGGATGCATTCTTACTCCAGCCCAGCCTGGCCTCAAACTCATAAATTCACAATCCCCTTACCTCAGCCTCCTAAGAGCTAGGAGTATAGACATATATCACTATGGTCAGCCAGGTTCAGTACATTTTGGGTGGAATTACTACCTTTAGTTGGTATGGAGAAAAAGTTCTTGAGACTCACTCCATTAAGGTGGTCTCCTATAAGTTTGAATATTTTATAAGTAATTCAGACCAGATAATTTAAATTATCTTTTATATCAATTTTATTACTATAACTCAACAGGCATTCAATTACTATATGTAATGTAATTTCTAATAGCATAAATAACCTCTTATTCCATGTTGGCTTCCTCACTGATGGATAACAACCATAGATTGGCACCTGTCACATACTTTGAGAAACTCTGGACAAATGAAAATTGAGGATTATTCTGTAGAACAAATGGCTTGTGGGTGGGGCTGGAAAAAAAATGGCTTAGCAGTTAAAGCACTCGGTGCTCTTCCAGAGGAATCAGGTCTGGTTCCTTCCACCCACATCTGGCTGCTTATAACTAGCTGTCACTCCAGCTCCTGGAGGGTGCATGAGTGCATACACACACATACACAGGCACCCAAAATATTTTTAAAATAAATAATTTTGAAAAGTTTTAAACTTCAATTTTGTGTGTCTGGGTGTTTGGCTTGAATGTATGTCTGTGCACCACTTGCATGCCTGGTGCCTTTGAAGATCAGAAAAGGATGTCAGATCCCCAAGACCTGGAGTTATAGACAGTTGTGAGCCCCCAGTGGGTGCTAAGAATCAAACTCCGGGTCCTCTGGAAGAATAGACAGTGCTGTTAATTAATAAAAACCAAAGCACACACAACTTAAACACAAAGACCTTCCATGTGGCTCTTAAAAGAACAGTCATCATTAATGTGTTCGCTCTTATTTTTTCTAACCCTTCTTCCCAGGAATGTAAATTATTTTGAGGTAAATCTGAGTCATGCTAACATTTTACCATAAACATTTGATAATATGAGGCTGGCAGGATACATATATACTACATCAGCTGCTAAAGGTGCCTGATGTTAAGCCTGATGACTGAGGTGATCTCCAGATTCACTTGGTGGAAGAGAGAATGGAATGGACTTTCATAATTTGTTCTCTGATCTCCACACCTGGCTGGTGGCCCAACACATGACACTCATAAATAAATATATAAAATAAGTATAAAAATAGAATATGTCTCCAAAAATGAAATCGTTAAAAACAGTCGCAGTCTCAGCTTTCAAATAAACAGTAATCAAAGGCCCAAATGCTGTTTATTTAGAGTTGTGTTAAACAGTACAGTTTAAGTGCTCTAATGCTAGTGGACAGCAGGGGGCAATGTTTGAAAAGTAACTCACCCAGAATACTTGACATATTTCTAGAATCCTTTACTTGGAAAGGAAAGGAACACTTGGAATCGTCTTCTTGTACAGTGCTTTTAGTAGATAATAAGTATGAGAGAGAAAAGATTCCTATTTTAGCTTGTTTCAAATTTGAACCGTTAGATCTTGGCATCTGTTCTAATAGGATAATTGTGTATCTTTGTAATAATACATTTAAAATGTGTTTTCTCAATGAAAACTAAGCCTTGCTATCCTAATTTCTGAAGTTATTTAGAAGTCATTTTTAAATATTATTTTTAAAAATAACTATTGGTGAATCTAGGTGAAAGATGTTTACTCATTGAACTATTTTAAGTTCAATGTTTTAAATTTAAGTTAGAAAAATGAAGTTTTAATTTTAGAATGCATCAGCTATAATAAAATTTAGAAACCCACCTAAATATAATAAATTATCAGTAACTCTCACACTATCCAAGTGGATTAATTACAGGAAACAAACTCAGGTGATTGTATAAAGGTTAATAATGCTGTAAGGTTTAAAGTCAACTATTTTATAGCAGTTGTATTACTGAAAGCAAACTATTAATATTAATTTCTAACTTTTCCTTATAGTATCTTTTGGCTATGACCTTTGTTTATTTCAAGAGAGCTAAATTTACTATAAATGAGCATACCAGGATAAATTTCTTTATTGCTCTGTAAGTATGCTTTCTACTAAATGAATTTTATTGGTATTTACAATATATGTGATTTGTAATTTAAAGCAGAACAGTATTTTTATGGATATTGTTAATAGGCCTTCTTGTGTGAAAATTACATATATTTTAATAGGATAGTTTTATGTTCTTTTCCCTGGTATTACATTATATGCCAGAGATTTATTGTTCAGTATCCCACTTCAGGTTGTATTATCTTTTACCTTTTTCACAATGCTCTCATATACATTTCCCTCTCCCACCCCCACTGGTTTGTTGCTGTTGTTGTTGTTTTGTTGTGGGTTTTGGTTTGTTTGGTTGGTTTTGGTTTTTTGAGACAGGGGTTCTTTGTGTAACAGCCTGGAACTTGCTTTGTAGACCAGGTTGGCCTCAAACTCACAGAGATACACCAGCCTCTGCCTCCCAAATGCTGGGATTAAAGGGTTTCACTACCCCTGCTCATCTCAAACACTAGTTTTTTGAGACAGGATCTCATTATGTAGCCCTGGCTGTCCTGGAACTCACTATATGTAGTCCAGGTTGGTTTTAAACTCACTGAGATCTCCCCGCCTCTGTCTCCTGAATGCTGAGATTAAAGATGTGTGGCACCACACTCAGCTATTTGTATATTTTTTAAAGATTTATATATTTTTATTTATTATGTATACAACATTCTGTATCCATGTATATCTGCACACCAGAAGAGGGCACCAGATCTCATAACGGATGGTTGTGAGCCACCATGTGGTTGCTGGGAATTGAACTCAGGACCTCTGGAAGAGCAGTCAGTGCTCTGAACCTCTGAGCCATCTCTCCAGTCCCCCCCACCCACCCCATTTATATATTTTAAAAGACAGAGTATTACCTTTTAAACTGCCAGTTAGTATGTTAGTATGTGAAAAATGTTTTGGATATATTATTTTTGTTTGGGGTTTTTTTGTTTTGTTTTGGGGGGGTTGTTTTTGTTTTTGTTTTTGACTTTTTGAGACAGGATTTCTTTGTGCAGCAGCCCTTGCTGTACTGGAATTCACTCTGTAGACCAGGCTGGCCTTGAACTCACAGGGATCCACCTGCCTCTGTCTCCCAAGTGCTGGTAAAGGTGTGCACCAGGTTTGGATATATTATTTGTAGGTCTGTATTTAAAAGGTAGGAATTGGCCAGGTGGTGGTGGCCAACACTCAGGAGACAGAGGCAGACAGATCTCTGTGAGTTCGAGGCCAGCGTGGTCTACAGAGAGAGTTCCAGGCCAGGCTCCAAAGCAATACAGAGAAACCCTGTTTCAAAAAATAATAATAATAAATGGTAGGAATTATTCACATTTAATATTTTGTGTTCACTGATGGTCTCATCAAATACTGATGAATATTGTTTATTCTCCAGATTTTCTGTTGATATCACATTCATTAATGATAACTTTGTTTCTGTTGTTTTAATGATGTGGTTTTCCAATTTATAAGTCATAATTTAGTTTGGAAAAATATAAAACTCAGTGATGGAATACTTGCCTGGTATGCACAAAACTCTGGCATCAGTCCTCAGCACTGCTTTACAATAAAGGGGAAAGGTCAAATTTAAGAATACATTTTGGTTCCAGGCATCCAGGGCTGTTACACAGAGAGACTCTGCCTCAAAACAAACAAATAAAAAAGAATACATTTTGGAAATTGTGTTCGAGGTGTTTTCCTGGTATGAATGAAGCTCTGGCTTCAATTATTAGCAACCCTTCCCCCATCCAAAGAAAAACAAATAATATGTTTTTTTTCTACCCTGTACATGGATACAACAATGCAGCAAGAATTTATGTACATAATTTTAAGTGTTAAACTAGAACTGTATACAAAATCATTGCATTTCAATATTGGGAGCTGGAGAGATTGGTCAGGTGTTTAAGATAGCTGCTCTTCTGAAGGACTAGGATTTAGTTACCAGCACAACCATCTGTACCTCCAGTTCCAGGGAATCTAATGCCCTCTTCTGGCCTCTGGGCAGTAGGTACACACATGGCACACAGGCAGACAAAACACTCAAACACATTTAAAAAAAAAAAAAGAAAGAAAGAAATTGGAGTATCACCTGCTTTATGATATATAGTAGTGACCATGCTCTATCAGAGCTGTTTTTAATGATGTTGCTCAGAATGGCTTCCTTCCAGATGACGATTGAGAAGCTAATTAAAAAAAAAAAAAAAAATGGTGCCAGGTACCTCAAGAGTAACAGAACTGTGCTGTTTTCTGGGATTTTGGTTTTTTTACTTTTTTTTTTAATGGAGTGTGCTGGATGTCTCTACAATTTTGTTCAAATGACTGCAGAACCTGGAAAAGCTGTTGCTGCTATTAATGCATAACATACTGAAATTGGAGTATCATAATAGCTGTCAGTACTGAGGAATAAGTTTTTACTCAAAGTCTACTTAGAATCAGGGTTTTTAAAGAAATAAGGCCAGAGGAGCCTTAACTATGCATTAATTAGAGAGACATTTTTCCAGAACATAGGAAAAATGAGCTGAATTTAACATTTGGTGATGATTGCTAACCTAGAAGAATTTAGTAGTAATAGCCAATAGTGAGTATTATGTGTCAATCGCCAATATATATATATATATTTTTTTCTTAAGAAATGTGTTTCTTTTTGTTTGTTTGTTTTTGTTTTTGCAGACAAGATTTCCCTTGCTGTCCTAGAGTTCACTTTGTAGATCAGGCTGGCCTCTAAGTCACAGAGATCTGCCTGCCTCTGCCTCCTGAGTGCTGGAAGTAAATGAAATGCATTTCTTATCCTGATTTACAGACAAGGAAACAATTTAGAAATTAAAGCACTTTACAAGATCACAGAAGTTAGCAAGGAGGCCAGTATAGTAGTTCACATCTATACTCCCAACATTTAGGAAGCTAAGGCAAGAGGATCGTGAGGGCAGCCTGGGCTAAAACAGAAAAAAAAAAAAAATGGAGCAGAGTTGTTGAGGTTCAAATTCATGTAAGACATTTCCAAGAGTCAGATTCAGCCTTCACACTACTACTTGTTTCAGTATATTTTTCCATTCAGTATCATACATATTCTGTAGTTTTCTTCACCTGACAATTAAACCAAAAAGGGCTTTAGTGCCAATCCAGGTAGAAGCCTGAAATTGAATTTGTTTCACTTGTTTTGTGGCTATAGCCATTAAAGTACTATTTAGCGTCTACTGGGTAGTAATCTTTAAGTGCATTGCAGATTGTATTATATTTTAAGCAACGTGAATTATAATTTCCATTCTGTGTCTGATCATATGTTTTCTGTAGGCTAACTTGGTATTTCTTTTCATTAAACATTTCTTGTTAGCCACTGTTTTAAAGCTCACATTTTCTATGTAGTCATGTAATGTTTCCTTACAATATTCTTTTGGGGGGGGTGGGGTTTCAAGGCAGGGTTTCTCTGTGGCTTTGGAGGCTTTCCTGGAACTGAATTTAATTTTCTTTTCTTATATTTTAAAATCTTCTGAGACAAGGCGTTTGTAGTCTAGGCTGGCCCCAAACTCCCTGTGTGATCTTGAACTGATCCTCCTCCCCGCCTTTGCCTTTCAAATGCTGAGATTTCAGGTGCTGGGAACTGAAGCCAAGTCCTCTGTAAGAGCCTCTCCAGGTCCTAAACATTTGTTTTTATATTCTATCTTGATTTGGGATTTGCTTCTGTTCGTGGTGTCTTGTTTCCTTGTGTGTTTTGTAATGTTTTGTTGTTAACCTATCGAGTCTGCATTGCCTCTGATTGGAAATCTGCCCCATCCTTAACTTTATTCCTGTATTAATTTCTTGCCTCCTTTTTTCCCTCCCTCCCTCCCTCCATCCTTCTCTCCCTCTCTCCCTTCCTTCCTTCCTTCCTTCTCTGTCTCTGTCTGTCTCTCTCTTTTGGAACAGAGTTTCATACAGCCCAGGCTGGACTCAGAGTTACTATGTAGCTGAGGATAGCTTTGAATTCCTGATTCTTCTGTCTCAACCTTTCAAGTACTAGGATTACAGATATGTGCCAACACACTGGCCTAATGTGTCTTTTTTTGTCTGATTGCCTTTTAAGATTTTTTCATTGCTGTTGAACAACTTGGTTAGGGTGTACCAGGGTATAATTTTCATGTGAATTCTTGTTTTTTATTCACTGAACCTCTTCGTAGATTTGTAGGTTTTTTGTTTGATTTGGGGGTTTTGGTGGTGGTGGTGGTGGTTTGGGGGGTGGTGGTTGTTGTTTTTTTCTTTTTCAAGACAGGGTTTTTGTGTGTGTAACCCTGGCTATCCTGGAATTTGCTTTGTAGACTGGCCTTACACTTAGAGATCTCTGCCTATCTCTGCCTTCCAAGAGCTGGGATTAAAGGCATGCCATCATCACCTGGCTGTAGATTTATAAGTTTCGTCAAATTTTTTAAAGGGTCTCCTGTAGACCAGGTTGAACTCAAACTTTCTGTGTAGCTAAGGATGTCCTTGAGCTTTTAATCTTGCCTCTACCTCCCAATGGCTGTTATTATAGATGTATGCCAAATACCTACTTATGCAGTGCTGGGACCAAGCCTAGGGCCTCCTGCATGCTGTGTAAACATGGTAACAGCTATATTACATCCCTTGTCCCATTTTCTTGAAACTATGGAAAAATTCATCTATTTCATCAATATTCTTTGATTAACTGCCACTTTTCAGATTCCAAGTTTACTTTGAATTCACTTCCTGAAGTTTTCACACATTCAACTAATGTTCTATTTCTGATTTTTAATTTTTGTCTTTATATTCCAGTTTGGGTAGATTCTATTACTGTACTTTCAATTGACAAATCTCTTCTCCAGTACTTGATCTTCCATTAATCTAGTTCAGTGTTTTTCATCCTACACATTGTAGTTTTCATCTCTGGAAGCACGGTTTCAATGTATCTCCTTGTATCTGCTTTTTGAGCATATAGAATAGTTACAGCTGTTTTGATGTTTGGGGGTTCCTTTTTGGTTTTGATTGGTTTTGGGTTTTTGGGGTTTTTTTTTTTTGGTTTTTTTTTTTTTTTTTTTTTTTTTTTTTTTTTGTTTTGTTTTTCGAGACAGGGTTTCCTTGTGACTTTGGAGGCTGTCCTGGAACTAGGTCTTGGAGACCAAACTCACAGAGATCCGCCTGCCCCTGCCTCCCAAGTGCTGGGATTAAAGGTGTGCACCACTACTGCCCAGCTCATATATCAGTTTGGGGTTGGTTTTGATTGGTTAGTTATTATCTTTACCATGGTTTTTGTTTTTCTGCTTCGTTGTATGCCTGGTTCCCCCTCCCCTCAGGTATTTGACAAACTACTGGCTTCTAAATGTGTATGAAGGAGCTGTCTGAAGATAGCCCAAAGAAAGACAGAAAGAGTGGCTCACAGTCGTTCATTTAGAACAATAAACACACCTGTTCTCAGTCAGGCAAACAGCCACAGTCCCTGGAGTAGTAAGGAGGTACTCTAAAAGTCTTGTCTTGGGTTGGCTGATTAGCTCCAGACGGAACATGCCACAGATTCACGTAAGAAATCAGAAAAGCCTCAGACTGTTTCAAGGTAACTTACTGCATCCCAGAACAAAGGTCAACATTTATAGGAATAACAAGGCCCACCATTTTATTATGTATTTATTATGTGTTCCTTTATGTGTTGATAAGTCATTTGTATTTCTTTTCTTTTTTTTGTTATCTGTTGTTCTTGTCCTTACCCATTTCTTTCTTGGGTTGTTGATCCTCTTTGTTAGGTACCTGGCTAATACAGTTGAAGAAGATGAAGAAGAAGCCAAGTATGAAATTTTCCCATGGGCTTTAGGGAAAAACTGGAGAAAATTGTTTCCTAATTTCTTAAAGTTAAGGGACCAACTCTGGGACAGAATTGACTATAGGGCTATTGTGAGCAGGAGGTGCTGTGAAGAGGTAAGGATTTAAAACACTTTTTACTTAAAGTCTTTGTTTACCTAATTTTCCTTGGTTTATTTATTTTTGACTTGGTTTTGTTTTGCTTCCTTATTTGGCGATAGATTCCCAAAATTAGTCGAGCCTGGTTTAGAATTCAGTCTTATTTTGTCCTCTTCCGTTTTAGGATACAAGTATATTGTGCCACTATGTCCTGCCCACTTTGGTTTTAATGCTCTTTTTCTGTTTTTCTCTCTCTCTCTTTGTACATGTACAAAGATCATTAACCTCAGTCACTACATATTCTGTTTGTTTGAATTTTATCAGAATTATTAAAAATTGTAATTCTCATTTTTCAGAGCAGACTACTTCTGTAGTATTTTTATTGCAGTGTCTCCCTCCTGTCTGAAAGATCACCAGTATGCTAACAAAGGGTTTGTAGCCCTTAATCCTAGTTAGACATATTAAAGCATCTTATTTAATATTATCAAATTAGGAAACCAGAGCTGAATAATAATTTCCACTAAAGTATATGAATTTTCAAGTTTCTGAGGCCAACAACATGTATATAATTTAAATAAATTTAAATAAATTTAAAATACAAACCTCTTTTCACAAACAATACATTTTTTATTTAATTTTTTTTAAATTTCATTTGAGACAGGCTCTCTCTCTATAGCCCTAACTGTCCTAGAACTCTCTATGTAGACTAGGCTAGCTCATAGAAATCACTCTGCCTTTGTCTCCCAGGAGATGAAACTAAAGGTATATATCGCCACGCTCAGCACATTGTTTTTTGGGGGTTTTTTGTTTTGTTTTTTGGTTTGGTTTGGTTTTTGTTTTTTGTGGGTTTTTTGTTGTTGTTTGGTTGGGTTTTTTTGTTTGTTTGTTTTGCCGGGTTTTTTGTTGTTGTTGTTGTTGTTGTTGTTGTTTTAGTTGTAGTTTTTCTCTGTATTGCTTTGGAGCCTGTCCTGGAACTCACTCTGTAGACCAGGCTGGCTTCGAACTCCACATTGATTTCTTAATGTTATATTTTACTAAGATAAATCATTCTATTTATAAATAATGTATTTTGTTGATTTGATTTTGGTTTTGTTGAGACAAGGTTTCTCTGTGAAACAGTGATAACTGTCCTGGAACTCAATTTGTAGACCAGGCTGGGATTAAAGGCATACACTACCACTGCCCAGCCCTAGTACATATACTAGCATTTAGAAATAACGGAAGATAGAAAGTAACAGAAAGATTATATAGCTAGCTAAGACTCTACAAAGTTAAATTCAGTGAGAAAGATTGCATAAATGAGGCCTCTAAAATTAGTGGAACACTGTAATTTTTTCCAAGTACATACTACTCTGCTTCTATTCTGTTCTCTTCCATTCTCTTTGGAACTATTATATAAAGCCTTTCCTCTATTGTCAACAGAACTTTATCAAAGCCTCATAGCTTTATATTGCCAAAAGCATAGGTCAGTTTTTAGTTCTCAACTTAGCAGTAGTATTTGGCACACTTACTTTTCTGATACAGTATCTTCATGTGGTTTTCCAAATATTGTGGCTGATGGTTTTTCCTCTTATTTTTCCAGTTCCCTTTTATCTCTTCAGCGTATTAAGGTGCCCCAGAGCTCAGACCTGGGACCTATTAGTAAGTCATCTTGTTCATTCTTTTTTTTTTTTCCAGACAGGGTTTGGAGCCTGTCCTGGTGTAGACCAGGCTGGTCTCGAACTCACAGAGATCCCCCTACCTCTGCCTTCCGAGAGCTGGGATTAAAGGCGTGCGCCACCAATGCCTGGCTCAGTTGTTCATTCTTACGACATTAATTTAGAGGGACTGGAGAGATAGATAGCTAAGCAGTTAGAACCACTTCCTAGTCATCCAGAAGACCAGAGTTTAGTTCCTGGGACCCATATCTGGCAGCTCACAACCACCTGCAACTCTTAACTCCTAGAGATCTGACACACTCTTCTAGTGCCTATAGGACTGGGCATGTGCAGATTCACATAAAAATTAAAATAGTCCTAAAAGACTTTAACATAAAGATCTAAAGGTTATATGTAATGACTTCCCACTGTTCTGTTTTCTCTATGGCATCTAACTGCCATATAAACTTCTCAGTGGTAATTTAGAAAGTTCATCTGTATCTTATTTTGAGAATTAAGAAGCATATTATTCTTTCCATGTCTCAGATTAAGAGGTGTGGTTAAATTATGACTTGTCTTGCTGTTACTACTGTTAAAGAACATACACTCCCCTTTTGGTAATACTGAGTTTTGTAATTTGTCTCTCTCCTTCCATCTTTTCTTCCTCTTCCTTCCTTCCTTCCTCCCTCCCTCCCTCCCTCCCTCCCTTCCTTCCTTCCTTCCTTTCCTCTCCCCCCCCTCCTTCCTTGTTTTTTTGAGATAGGTTCTCTCTACATAGCCCTGGCTATCCTGGAACTTACTACTTAGACTAGTCTGGCCTTGACCTCACAGAGATCTGCCTGTCTTTGCCTCCTGACTGCTGGGATTAAAGGTGTACACTACCACCCAGCCCTTTTTCTTTTTTCTTTCTTTCTTTCTTTCTTTCTTTCTTTCTTTCTTTCCTTCCTTCCTTCCTTTTCTTCCTTCCTTCTTTTCTTTCTTCCTTTTTTTTTTTGAGACAGTGTTTCTCTGTATTGCTTTGGAGGCTGTCCTGGCACTTACTCTGTAGACCAGGTGGCCTGGAAGTTAGCTACAATACTGTAGCTAACTCACAGAGATCCACCTGCCTCTGCCTCCCAAGTGCTGGGATTAAAGGCGTGCACCACCAACGCCCGGCTCCCTTTTTCTTTTTAAGCCACATTTGCAAAGCTATTATCTATAGCCATATTAACTGCATTGCATTTTATAACCCTGTCTGCTTTTTCTCACTTTAGTTCAATCTCACCTTTGGGTCCAATCTAGTGAATTTTTTTTTATTTTTTAAATTTTTTAGACTTATTTTATGCATATGGGTATTTTATCTGCATGTGTGTTGTGTGCACCACATGTGTGCCTGGTGCCCATATCAGAAGAGAACATTAGTCTGGAACTGAGATACAGATAGTTGTGAGCTACCACATAAATGCTAGGAACCCAATCCAGGTCCTCTGCAGGAGCAACAAGTACTCTTAACAACTGAGCCATCTCTCCAGCACCTCCCCCCAATTTTGTGTTCAGCTCTCTTACATACTTGTTTGAAGAAAGGTGAACTATAATTATATGCAAATAAAAACACACTATATACATATACTGTGGTGTGATGGTGTGTGTGTGTGTGTGTGTGTGTGTGTGTGTGTGTGTGTGTGTGTGTGTAAATGGCTTTTCTAGAAAGAATGAAGACTATTTCCTTACCAACTCTGATCTTGGCTTCTTTTTGGACATAGTTCCTTTGAAGTGAAATTAATTTACATTGATGATGGCTTAATTTCTAGACTGGTTCACAGATTATAGAGGGTGCCTATCCACTGAGAGAGACTCCATCCCAGTGTCTTTCATGCATCATAGAGGGTGACAGGTGATGGAAGGGGAAACTTTTGTTTATGATGCTTTATGTACTCTGGTGTAGTTGCTACAGTATTATAGCTAACTTCTGTTAGCTACTACTTGATTTCAGATTAGTAATTTAGGGAGCAATAGTATTGGGCATAGTAAAACAAGGATGGTATGCAAAAGACCCTCTATTGTAATGTACTGGAAAGAGCTAAACTTGTTATAGTTAGGAACTAGTTAGCAGTGCTCTGGAAGTGAAACCAATGTTAGAAACATTACAAAATTATAATTGTAATGACTTAGTAGTAAGTTGGCTATAGCATATGTGGAAAAGGAAGTTACTGGTTTCAGATCTATCTAATGGGAAGAATGTGGAGTTCTATAATGTAAAAAGAAAGGAGAGAGACTCAAACTGCTTTATTGGAAAGTTAAGGAATTTGGTATTTAAAACATAGGAAATTAGGGTGATAACTGAGTAATAGCTATAGAGAATCAGCATATAAATGATACTTAAAGCTTAGTAATACATTTTCATTGTAGAGGTCTTTTATTTCCTTGGTTAAGTTTATTTCAAGGTTTGGGTTTTTGGGGGTTTTTTCTTGCTCAGCATGTTCGTTATTGGTATATAGGAAGACTACTGGTTTTTGTACGTTTGTTTTATTAATATATACTGCCACTGATGAAAGTGTTGATCAGATCTAAGAGTTTTCTGGTGGAATCTTGGGATTGTGGGCTTTATGTATGAAATCACATTATCTAAAAATAAGGATACTTTGACTTCTTTTCATACTTTTATCTTTTTTTATTTTCCTTTCTTACTACTCTGTAGACCTCAAAAACACAAATACTACATATCTCTCTCTTTTGTGCACCTTAGATTTTTATAGAGTGAGAGGCAGAGGCAGGTGAAACTTTGAAGACAAGCCTGGTCTCCAGGCCAGGCAGGGCCACATAAAGAGACACTGTCTCAAATAATAATAATAATAAATAAATTTTAAAAAGTAAGTAAAAGCTGGGTAATAGCAAATGAAGGAACTGATAAAGCACAATTAGTAAGGCAGTATGCCAGTGCTGAAACACAAGCAATCCAACTGCAGGGCCAGAGCTTTTTACACTTACCGATAGCCCCTCTTGGGATCAAAACACTACCCAATATTCATTTTTACCAAAGGCACCAAAACAAAATATCCCTAATGATTTTTTAAAAGGAGGAAATTGTTTCTTGTTTCTAGTAGGTCAACTACTACCAATATTTCAGAGAAACCTCTTTCATGGAATCTGATTTAGCACTTGACGTATATAAAAGATACCCCCAGAGCCAGGCATTGGTGGCGCAAGCTTTTAATCCCAGCACTCGGGAGGCAGAGGCAGGTGGATCTCTGTGAG